TTGATCAACATCCAGAGCACTAGCAGTAAAACATAGATCAATGTTTAGACAGTTAAAGGGTTAAACATCAAGTAAATTTGCTCCTCCAAGTTTTCTCAAGATATTACAGTAATCTCCCTCCAATATTCTAATCAATAAAAAAGGATAAAAAAAAATAAGTTAATGTATTTTAATGAAATAAATATTTAAAACCAATAATATAATAAAAGCTAGTAATTATTACACATTATTCATTAAAAAATATAAGGTAATCTAGTGCAAAGTGAGAGTTGTCACAACTGTTCTTTTGCTAAAGACATGGGGGATTCTGACGAGAAGTTGTAAAGGTTGGTGGATAAATGTTGGAAGATACATCAAAGCAGGCAATTAAAAGTGAACATGGGAAAGAGAAAGGCAACAAAAAATTTAACCCTTTCAGGGTCCAGAGGCCAAATTGCAAAGTGTGCACCAGGGTCTAAGAATTTAAAAAAAAAAAAAAATGATTTTTTCTTATGAAATGGTAGAGAATCTTTTTCTGAAGGTAATAAAACAAAAAGTAAGAAATTTGATGGAAAACTGACGAAATTATGCTCTCGCGAATTTTGATGTGTCAGAGATATTTACGCATCGGCGATTTTGCCTACTTTGACTCCCATTTTAGGCCATTTACATCATTCCAGTCAATCAAATTCTTAGCTATTTCACTAGTATTACTTCTATTCTATTAAGTGAACACAAGAAATTGCCAAGTCAACTGTTTCAACTACAAATTAAAGTGATCAGAAATTGGAAATTTGGTCAATTTAATGCAAAGTTCAAAATATTCCAATTTCAAAACAGGGTCCAGAATAAACAATGCAGGCATTCCTGGCACTAAACTAACATTTCCTCTGTTCATTATTTACGTTTTCATGCCTTTACAAATGAATTTCATTTTGATTTTTTATTCACATAATGAATTTTTATTCAAACCAAAAAATAGAAGATTTACTGTTATGCAATATTGTAATAATTGTATAAATAATATCACCACATTTGTGAACATATATTAAACCCACCAGTTGGTGCATATTAGACGTATGAGGTTTACTTTGTTTACTTTTGAACATCAGCAAAAATTTAACATTCCCGCTACTTTGACCTCAGTGTCAAGCCATTTCCAGTACCAAAACCAATCAAAATCATCTCCATTTCTGTAATATATCTTCCATTCTATGAAATGAGACCAAGAAATAGCAAATACAACTATAAAAAACATACAAAAAAAAAAACACTGCAAAGTTGCTGTTTTGATTGAAAATTACGGTCTCAGTTTTTTCTCTCATTATGTACTGTGTGCTGCAGGATTTGTTTCATGTGGTGCACACATACCACACTGATATACAGTGGACCCTCGCCTAACGATGGCATCGCATAACTTTAAATCAGCCTAGCGATACATTTTAACGCAAAAATTTTGCCTCGGCTAGCGCTAAAAAACTCGCTCAATGCGATTCGTTCGAGACGCGTCCACGGGCGGCCTGAACCCGCCTCACTTGTTCCGTGGGTGCCAGTGTTTACAAGCTAGCCACCGCGGTCACTTCCAAGCATTCAATCGGAACATTTCATATTATCACAGCCTTTTTAGTGATTGCACCTGCAAAATAAGTCACCATGGGCTCCAAGAAAGCTTCTAGTGCCAAACCTACAGGAAAAAGGGTGAGAATTACTATGGATATGAAGAAAGAGATCATTGCTAAGTATGAAAGTGGAGTGTGTGTCTCCGAGCTGGCCAGGTTGTACACAAAACCCCAATCAAACATCGCTACTATTGTGGCCAAGAAAACGGCAATCAAGGAAGCTGTTCTTGCCAACGGTACAACTTTGTTTTCGAAACGGAGATCGCAAGTGATAGAAGATGTTGAGAGACTGTTATTGGTGTGGGTAAACGAAAAAGATAGCAGGAGATAGCATCTCTCAAGCGATCATATGTGAAAAGGCTAGGAAGTTGCATGAGGATTTAATTAGAAAAATGCCTGCAACTAGTAGTGATGTGAGTGAATTTAAGGCCAGCAAAGGTTGGTTTGAGAGATTTAAGAATCGTAGTGGCATACATAGTGTGATAAGGCATGGTGAGGCTGCCAGTTCGGACCACAAAGCGGCTGAAAAATATGTGCAGGAATTCAAGGAGTACATAGACAGTGAAGGACTGAAGCCTGAACAAGTGTTTAATTGTGACCAAACGGGCCAGTTTTCGAAGAAAATGCCAAGCAGGACCTACATTACTCAGGAGGGAAAGGCACTCCCAGGACATAAGCCTATGAAAGACAGGCTTACTCTGCTGATGTGTGCTAATGCTTGTGGTGATTGCAAAGTGAAGCCTTTATTGGTGTATCACTCTGAAACTCCCAGAGTGTTCAGGAAAAACAATGTCCTCAAGGCTAATTTGTGTGTGCTGTGGAGGGCAAACAGTAAGGCATGGGTCACTAGGGACTTTTTCTATGACTGGTTACACCATGCATTTGCCCCCACTATGAAAAATTACCTCCTGGAAAATAAATTAGACCTTAAGTGCCTCCTGGTATTAGACAATGCTCCTGGTCATCCTTCAGACGTGGCAGAGCGACTTTCTGCGGAAATGAGCTTCATTAAGGTCAAGTTTTTGCCTCCTAATACCACTCCTCTCCTGCAGCCCATGGACCAGCAGGTCACTGCAAACTTCAAAAAACTCTACACAAAAGCTATGTTTGAAAGGTGCTTTGTAGTGACCTCAGAAACTCAAATGACTCTAAGAGAGTTTTGGAGAGATCACTTTAGCATCCTCAATTGTGTAAACATTATAGGTAAGGCTTCGGAGGAAGTGACTAAGAGGACCTTGAACTCTGCTTGGAAGAAACTGTGGCCAGAATGTGTAGACAAAAGGGATTTTGAAAGGTTTGAGGCTAACCCTGGGAATCCTATGCCAGTTGAGGAATCCACTGTGGCATTGGGGAAGTCCTTGGGGTTGGAGGTTAGTGGGGAGGATGTGGAAGAGTTGGTGGAGGAGGACAATGACTAACTAACCACTGATGAGCTGCTAGATCATCTTCAACAGCATGAGGCCAGACCTGAGGAAACTTGCTCTGGAGGAGGGGATAGAGAAATTGAGGAAGTTGCCTACTTCAAAGATTAAGGAAATGTGTGCAATGTGGCTTAGTGTGCAAACCGTTTTTTATGAAAATCACCCTCACACAGCTATTGCAAGCCGTGCTGGTGACTATTACACTGACAATGTTGTCAAACACTTTAGGAATGTCATAAAGGAACGGGAGGTACAGGCCTCTATGGACAGACATGTTGTGCGACAGAGGTCCAGTGACTCTCAAGCTGGTCCTAGTGGCATTAAAAGAAGAAAGGAAGTAACCCTGGAAAAGGACTTGCCACCTCAAGTCCTAATGGAAGGGGATTCCCCTTCTAAACATTAACACCATCCACACTCTCCCCTCCTCCCATCCCATCAATCATCACCAGATCTTCAATAAAGGTAAGTGTCATGTAATTGTGCATGTCTTCTTCAGTTTGTGTGTATTAAAATTAATATTTCATGTGGTAAAATTTTTTAATTTTCATACTTTGGGGTGTCAGGAATGGATTAATTTGATTTCCATTATTTCTTATGAGGAAAATTAATTCGGCTAACGATAATTTCGCCTAACGTTGAGCTCTCAGGAACGGATTAATATCGTTAGGCTAGGGTCCACTGTATTCTCTCATATCAAGGCCCAAATTTACCACTCACAGCTTATCAGAGTGAGCTGAGCTCATGTCATAGATCTACGGTTTGTACCCTCAACTCAAAGCCATAGAACCATGGCACGGACCCTGAAAGGGCTAAGAAATGAAACATGGGATTATCAGAATGGAGGGAGGGAGTATGGAGGAAATAAACAAGTTTAGACATTTGGGAGTGGATCTGTTGGAGTATGGGTCTATGAAAGTTCAGGTGAACAATAGAAATTAACAGGGGAGGAAACAGAGGGATGGTACAGTGGAACCTCAGTACTCAAACAACTCCATACTTGAACAATCTGGTATTCAAACACTTTGTTCGGTAAACAAATTGCTCAGTAGTTGACCATCTGCTCGGCACTCGACCAAACAAATACGACCTGCCAGAACTTCGCTGTAAACTATTTTGTGTTCCTTCGCATTTTTTGGTGTTTTTTATATTATTTGTATAAATAAATTGCCATGGGGCCTAAGAGGGTTAGTGATAACAACCAACCGAAAAGAAAATTGGTTGGGAAAAATCTGTTCCGTACTCAAACAGATCGGCACCCGAACAGCCTTTTGGAACCAATTAAGTTCGAGTGATGAGGTTCCATTGTACATTGAAGCATGTGTGGAGACAAAGAACTTTATCCATGGAGGTAAAAAAGTGAAGCATACCAGAATATAGTGGTACCAACAATGTTATATGAGTGTAAAGTATAGGTTATGAATGTTGCAGCAAGGAGGAGGAAGGACTGTAATCTTTGAAGGTAATGTGTGGTGCAAATATTAGGCAGAAAATTCAGAGCTTAGAGAGCAGCAGGTGTGGGGTTACCAAAGTATTATTTGGAGGGTGAAGGAGGGGTTGTTGAGGTAGTTTGCACATTTAGATAAGATGTAGCAAAGAAGGATGTCTAAGAGAACACATAAATCTGGGGTGGAGGGAAGGGGTGGGGGTCATTCCAGGATGGGTTGAAAGGAGGGGGTAAGGGAGGTTTTTAATTGCTAGAGGCTAAGATTGTGTAAGCATGTAAGATAGGAGTGGAGGCAAATTGTTCTTATGATGATATACTGTTAGAGTATGAGCAAAGTAACATTTATGAAGGGATACAGTGGAAGTTGGTTAGCCAGACCTGAGTCCTGAAGGAGGGAAGTATAGTGCCTCCACTCTGTAGGAGGACTGGGTATGTTGCAGATTAGAGGGTCATCTGAGCTGTGAAGTCAGTATGCTTTTGGGAAGAAAGTGACTGAATGAGTGAGAGTAAAAGTTTTTCTTCTTTTTCTTCGGTCACCCTACCTCAGTGGGATATGGTCAGTGTATTAAAAAAACAGAAAGTAACAGTGCATTTTAAAGAAATAACCACCTCAACTAGGCACTTCCTACTAAACTTCACTCAAACTTACAGCACCTGTGCATGAGAGAAAGTTGCCCTGTATTTAGTAAATTATGCTTAAAAAATAAATTGTACATTCTGTTACCATGTAAAGCGGGGTATGTGTCTAAATGGCTTGAGTACTAGCTTTAATTACTGGTAACTTTTTATCAAATGTCTATAGTTATTCAAGTTATTTTATGCACATGCAATTTCTTTTTTCCTCTTACTTTACTTCTGTATTCATAAGGCACTGCAGAGAGTGAAGGACAGCTTAACATCTGGTTTTTGCTACATGACGTCTTAACACTATTTATGCAAACGAAAACAAAAAAACAACATTTTAATTAGTATAAAAAATAAATTTATAAATTATTATTTTATGTACATACTGTACAGCTTTAAGACAGTTTCTACCAGAGTTAGCATGTTAAATTCACTCTTATTATATGTAGCAACTCGTATGCTATAGTCACACAGCAAAGACTTTACTGTGTTTCCACAACACTCTCTGAATCTCAGGTCTCAACAGACATTTACACATTTATATGATGCATCTATGAATGAGTGTGCATGCAAAATACTAAAGTAAAAATAAAGACAAGCACCACTTACATTCTCAATCATTACTCTGAACCTCCATTACAGGAGACTGGATCAGGCCGTGCATGTTTTATTCGAAGTTCTTTCGCCAATGTAATTTCTTTTAAATTTATTCCTAATGCTCGTGCTCTTCTTCTTGATCTCCATACCTAAAAAAGATAAAGATTTTATTCTTTGCAAAGGTTATGATGTGTAATTACAATTTTGATTTGTTAAATACAAAGAAAGCCACTACTTAAGTCTAGACAAGATAGGAGTGGCTATCTTTTTAATAAATCTTTATATTATCTTAATACTAGTGTCATGTAGTCAAAGATGGAGGTTTATAAGAATAATAATCTTGAAGTTGCACATAACAAATAACAATATAACAAATAATGGTTTCTTACTTTATATCACTCTCTAATATACCCTTACCTCACCTATGGTATTTGTGCTTGGGGATCTACCATGGCCAATCACCTTAAACATTTAACCCTTTGAGGGTCGACAGGCCCTCTCCGAAACTCGTTCTCAGGGTCGGCCAAATTTCAAAAAAAAAAAAATTATTTTTTATGAAAAAATAGTTTTTTTTTCTAAACATTATAGGATAAACAAAAACAATTTACCATCAATACTTACGGAGATATGGATGCATGAAGTTTGCAGAAAATGAGCCGCGTATGGCAACAGCGGCTACTGCCGCTCACCCGGTAAACTTTAGTTTACTTGTATTTGAAGGTTTGTTGTTTTTTTCACTATTTTATTTTTTCACATAACTTATGTGGCCTATGAGACCAAAGTAAGGTGCAATGTACATATATACACTCGTTGTATACAACACAATAAGCACACAAACATAATTATCAATATATTGTTTACAAAACTTGTTTACAAAAACAAACAATACAAAACATTGTTTATTATTATTGTTCTATAATATATATACCAATATACAGTCACTGAACATATTCCTATTAGTTCTGCAGTTTGTGGAACTCTGAAACATGGTGTCATACACAATGGTGTTTTATCTTTCTCCCTCATTCTATCTCTTTCAATCTGTCTCTCTCTTTCTATCTGTCTGTCTATCTCTGTCTCACAGGTACACATAAATACAAGTATACATAGTATAAATTACCTAGGATAACCCAAGAAATCCAGACAAAGTGCTATACTCTGCTTGAAGATGTGAGTAAAAGTGATGACACAGTCTTGTGGCTCTCTGAGACAGAGAGCTAGACGGATAGACAGGGAGCTTGACAGACAGGCAAATAGACAGACAGAAATGTTAGTATACCAGCAAAAACAAAGGGAGGGAGATGTTTATCTCATCTTTTGGCATCAGCTCTACCCTCATTTACCCTCATCAAACGTCAGCACTTATCAGATGTTATCTCCCCTTATCTTGTTACTGTCATGGGTGAACATTTATTATTACCTATTATTATTATTATGTATTATTATTATGTATTATTATTATTATGTATTATTATTATTATGTATTATTGTTATCATTACGTATTCTTCTTCTTCCTCCTCCTCCTCTTCTTCTTCCTCCTCCTCCTCTTCTTCTCCTCCTCCTCCTCCTCCTCCTCTTCTTCTTCCTCCTCCTCCTCCTCCTCTGCCTCCTCCTCCTCTTGCCTCCTCCTCCTCTTGCCTCCTCCTCCTCTTGCCTCCTCCTCCTCTGCCTCCTCCTCCTCCTCCATTCTTGGAACAAGTTTGAAGAGCTTGTAGTTCATAATCACTATCACTATCATCACCAATGCTCACATCTGAGTCTGGGATTTTGGAAAATAGGAGTTTCCTCTTTGATTCTGGTACAACTGAACGTGAACAAGATGGCCCAGCACCAGAGGTGGAAGGCTGTGGGTTGTCTGGGTTTTCCTCACTATTACCCATATTATGGTCATTAGTTTCAGTCAAAACCTCACCAGAACCTTGAAACTCATCTTCACTGTCACTTCCATCTGTATTAGAACTGTCACTGGGGAACAAAAGTGTCCCAATTCGCCGAGGAGTGAGGAACTTCTTACCACAGGGCATGGTGGAAATTGTGTACTATGATGGCATTCCCACAATGCACCACTGGGTCCTAGATTTTTTTCCTACTGCGCACACCCACCACACAGACCCATTCTCTCACATCTAGGCTTATCAGCCTTTTCCTGTGAGATTTGAGGCCGCTAGAATTTATGCGTACTAGTACGACAAAAAACCCTACGCGTAAGACGTACTAGTACGACCAAAACCCTCAAAGGGTTAATAACCCAACAAAAAGCTGCTGTGCGGATGATCACAAACTCCTGCGCCAGACAACACACCCCACCACTCTTCAAGAGCTTAACCTTACTTAATATAAAAAATTATTTTTATTTTTATTATCACACTGGCCGATTCCCACCAAGGCAGGGTGGCCCGAAAAAGAAAAACTTTCACCATCATTCACTCCATCACTGTCTTGCCAGAAGGGTGATCTACACTACAGTTTTTAAACTGCAACATTAACACCCCTCCTTCAGAGTGCAGGCACTGTACTTCCCATCTCCAGGACTCAAGTCCGGCCTGCCGGTTTCCCTGAATCCCTTCATAAATGTTACTTTGCTCACACTCCAACAGCACGTCAAGTATTAAAAACCATTTGTCTCCATTCACTCCTATCCAACACGCTCACGCATGCCTGCTGGAAGTCCAAGCCCCTCGCACACAAAACCTCCTTTACCCCCTCCCTCCAACCTTTCCTAGGCCGACCCCTACCCCGCCTTCCTTCCACTACAGACTGATACACTCTTGAAGTCATTCTGTTTCGCTCCATTCTCTCCACATGTCCGAACCACCTCAACAACCGTTCCTCAGCCCTCTGGACAACAGTTTTGGTAATCCCGCACCTCCTCCTAACTTCCAAACTACGAATTCTCTGCATTATATTCACACCACACATTGCCTTCAGACATGACATCTCCACTGCCTCCAGCCTTCTCCTCGCTGCAACATTCATCACCCACGCTTCACACCCATATAAGAGCGTTGGTAAAACTATACTCTCATACATTCCCCTCTTTGCCTCCAAGGACAAAGTTCTTTGTCTCCACAGACTCCTAAGTGCACCACTCTTTTTCCCTCATTAATTCTATGATTCACCTCATCTTTCATAGACCCATCCGCTGACACGTCCACTCCCAAATATCTGAATATGTTCACCTCCTCCATACTCTCTCCCTCCAATCTGATATTCAATCTTTCATCACCTAATCTTATTGCGCCTACTATATACAATGAACCCCCGCCTTATGATATTAATCCGTTCCTGAGAGCTCATCGTAAGCCGAAATTATCGTAAGGCGAATTAATTTTCCCCATAAGAAACAATGGAAATCAAATTAATCCGTTCCTGACACCCCAAAGTACGAAAAAAAAATTTTTACCACATGAAATATTAATTTTAATACACACAAACTGAAGAAAACATGCACAATTTCTACTCTACTAAGAATAGAATACATGACACTTACCTTTATTGAAGATCTGGTGATGATTGATAGGATGGGAGGAGGAGAGAGTGTGGAAGTTGTTATTGTTCAGAAGGAGAATCCCCTTCCATTAGGACTTGAGGAATCAAGTCCTTTTCCGGGGGTTACTTCCCTTCTTCTTTTAATGTCACTAGGACCAGCTTGAGAGTCACTGGACCTCTGTCACACAACAAATCTGTCCATAGAGGTCTGTACCTCCCATTCCTTTAAGACTTTCCTAAAATGGGCCATAACAGAGTCATTGTAATAGTCACCAGCACGGCTTGCAGTAGCTGTGTCAGGGTGATTTTCATCTGCAAAGGTTTGCAGTTCAACCCACTTTGCACTCATTTCCTTAATTTTTGAAGTAGGCAACTTCCTCAATTTCTCTCCCCCCTCCTCTGAAGCAGTTTCCTCAGGTCTGGCCTTTTGCTGTTGAAGATGATCTTGCAGCTCTTCAGTGGTTAGTTCTTCATTGTCCTCCTCCACCAACTCTTCCACATCAGGACTTCTGTTGCACAACATACCTGTCCATAGAGGCCTGTACCTCTCATTCCTTTATGACTTTCCTAAAGTGGTTCACAACAGTGTCAGTGTACAGGTTGCCAACACGGCTTGCAGTAGCAGTGTCAGGGTGATTTTCATCAAAAAAGGTTTGCACTTCAAGCCACTTTGCACACATTTCCTTAATCTTTGAAGTAGGCAACTTCCTCAATTTCTCTATCCCCTCCTCCAAAGCACTTTCCTCAGGTCTGGCCTCTTGTTGTTGAAGATGATCTAGCAGCTCATCAGTGGTTAGTTCGTCATTGTCCTCCTCCACCAACTCTTCCACATCCTCCCCACTAACCTCCAACCCCAAGGACTTTCCCAATGCCACAATGGATTCCTCAATTGGCATAGGATTACCAGGGTTAGCCTCAAATCCTTCAAAATCCTTTTTGTCTACACATTCTGGCCACAGTTTCTTCCAAGCAGAGTTCAAGGTCCTCTCAGTCACTCCCTCCCAAGCCTTACCTATAAGGTTTACACAATTGAGGATATTAAAGTGATCCTTCCAAAACTCCTTTAGAGTCGATAGAGTATCTGTGGTCACTTCAAAGCACCTTTCAAACATAGCTTTTGTGTACAGTTTCTTGAAGTTGGAAATGACCTGCTGGGCCATAGGCAACAGGAGAGGAGTGGTATTAGGAGGCAAAAAACTTGATCTTAATGAAGCTCATGTCCCCACAAAGTCGCTCTGCCAAGTCTGAAGGATGAACAGGGGCATAGTCTAACACCAGGAGGCACTTAAGATCTAATTTCTTTTCAATTAGGTAATTTTTCACATTGGGGGCAAATGCATGGTGTAACCAGTCATAGAAAAAGTCCCTAGTGACCCATGCCTTAGTGTTTGCCCTCCACAGCACACACAAATTAGCCATGAGGATATTCTTTTGCCTGAACGCTCTGGGAGTTTCTGAGTGATACACCAATAAAGGCTTCACTTTGCAATCACCACTAGCATTGGCACACATCAGAAGAGTAAGCCTGTCTTTCATAGGCTTATGTCCTGGGAGTGCCTTTTCCTCCTGAGTAATCTAAATCCTGCTTGGCAATTTCTTCCAAAACAGGCCTGTTTCGTCACAATTAAACACTTGTTCAGGTTTCAATCCTTCAGCCTCTATGTACTCCTTGAATTCATGCACATATTTTTCAGCTGCTTTTTGGTCTGAACTGGCAGCCTCACCATGCCTAATCACACTATGTATGCCACTACAATTCTTAAATCTTTCAAACCAACCTTTGCTGGCCTTAAATTCACTCACATCACCACTAGTTGCAGGCATTTTTCTAGTTAAATCCTCATGCAACTGCCTAGCCTTTTCACAAATGATCGCTTGAGAGATGCTATCTCCTGCTATCTGTTTTTCATTTATCCACACCAATAACAGTCTCTCAACATTTTTTAACACTTGCGATCGCTGTTTTGTTATCACAGTTGCACCTTTTGCAAGAACAGCTTCCTTGATTGCCATTTTCCTGCTCACTATAGTAGAGATGGTTGATTGGGATTTACTATACAACTTGGCCAGGTCTGACACACACACTCCACTTTCATACTTTGCAATTATCTCTTTCTTCATTTCAATAGCCATTAGCACCCTTGGTCTCGATGGGTTGACACTAGAAGCTTTCTTGGGGCCCATGGTGACTTATTTTGTAGAAACAAGCACCAAAAACAGTGATAATATGGATAATATGGAATGTACCGAATGTATCCTTAGATGTGCGCACACTGGCTGGCTTATATACACTGGCACACATGGGGCAGTTCAGGCCACACGTGGACACGTCTCGTACTAATCGTATCGCATACCGGGTTTTGTAACGGGAACCGAGGCAAATTTTTTGCGATATAATGCTTCAGAGATACCGGATTTATCGGATACCGATGACTTTGCGAACCGGGGGTCCACTGTATTTTGTTTTCCTGTTTAAGTTTTCTCAACCTGAACAGAAAGTTTTGACGTTTTCTCATTAGACACTCGTAGTACACTCCATTTTTCATTGTAATTGCTGATTTAATTAAGTCCTTTCTTTTATCATATGAATGAAGCCTGATCATGATACTGTGTTTACTACCATGTTTTCCTAACAAACGTGTTTCTTTGATTTCATTGTTTTGCACGATAACTTTTACGTGGTCCTGTATTATCCTGATAGCAGTTTCTTTGCACTGTTCTTGGGTTATGCCACTAGGAATGTGTGAACTGTTTATTATAACTGCATCAGACAACTTATCTTGTTCAGTTTTGTCGTCTTGGAAATCAAGGTATTCATTCAGTTGAGTGTGCATGTTCTGATTCCAGTCCTTGATTGCTTCTTCAACCTTCATATTTAGAGTTGTTATTTGCTCAGTGTGACTGGCTATTGCTGTTTTCAGAATATTTTCTGTGTCAGCACTTCCCGAGGTAATCTTCTCTTCAAGGTTTTGGATCTTGTTCTCGAGGTTGGTTATGTTGGATTCTCGTCGCGCAAGTGTTGCTTTAATATCTAAGATTTCGTTTTCTAGAGCAATTATGTAGTCCCTGATATTGTCAGGAATAATCATACCTGAGTTATCATGGGTGAATCCTTTGAAGGGAGTGGAGTTGGAGGGGGAGTCAGCCATGTTTGTTGTTGTTCTCTGGGTGGTGGTGGTGAGGGAGGTTGATGATACACCGGCGTCCTGCTGGGTAGACAAGTCGAGTTCTAGGGTCCTTGGTGTTATTCTTTTCTTACTGCTGTTGTTTCTTCTGCAATATCTTTTCGTAATATCACTAAAGTAGATACTGTGTAGCTATGGAGGAGAAGGCTTGATTTCCCTGCGCTTGGGTTAAGTGATTGTCTGGCAGCAGAGGCAGTATTTGGGTTAGCAGGGCTGTCTTCCTTAGATCTTCTATTTTGTCAAGATTTGGGTTACATTCTTAGTATTCTTGGGTCATTTTGTGGTCTACGTGGGTTCATGTAGTTGTACCTTCAATTAGGCCATCACAAGCTTTGATGAGCGATGGTTTCTTGAAGAATAACCGTAGAAAATTATTCCTTTCATATGCCTTCACTCAGAGTGTCATTTCTTCTAAAAATGGTGTTACATGAGAATGGGAGTGTTCCAGTTTATTTATTCAACCATATCTATGTAGAGACAACTTGTACACAATGTAACTTGTACACAAACCAGACGTGTTCGCCTGGTTTGTTTACAAAACTCCATGAGTGTCCTCTCTCAAGTACTCATTCTCTCTCTCTGTCTCTCTCTCATTTATTCATTTTATCTCGTTTACTCACCTCTGACCCTACATTAAGACTACAAATATTTTAAGGTAAGTAATGAGTGAACTGTATATGCATTTTATCGCCCTTGGATGCTTAAATGTCATAGAATATTGTGTGTGGGTGGGGAGTCCTGGTAAGAGAGCCTGGCTAGCTACAATACATACCACACTTGATTTCTTATAATAAATACTACTCCTCTCAACCTAGATTAAGACTACAAATAAGTAAGTACGTAATGAGTGTACTATATGTGTAGTTTATTTTTTTATTGTTTTTTAATGCCTAGTTCTATTGCTAACTTAATATATGTTAGTGTAAACTTGTTATCTAGTATTTATATGCATTTATAAGTGGGAAAAAAGGGTGTTCCACTTACGTCGATTTCTGCCTTACGGCGGTAGCCTGGAACCTAACCTACCATATAAGTGGGGTCCTACTGTATCATCATCAATTAGTAACTTTGTAAACTCCCATTTTGTATCTGATTCCCTATACCTTACCTCTGCCTTTGATGAGTTTCAAGAGTCTTACTACTCTCGGAGCCTGGCCAGGCTTGTCTGGTGCTTACCTGGTCAACCAGGCTGTTGCTGTTAGAGGCCCACTGCCCCACATATCTCTCACAGCCTGGTTGATCTGGCACTTGGTAAAGATACTTGTTCAGTTTTAATCCCACCCCTGTCCCCAACACCCTAACATTTACTTCTTTTATGTTAAACAACCATGGTGACATTACACATCCCTGTCTAAGGTCTACTTTTACTGGGAAGTAATCTCCCTCTCTTCTACATACCCTAACCTGAGCCTCACTATCCTCACAAAACTTCTTAACAGCATTTAGTAACTTATTACCTATTCCATACAGTAATTAATAAAATTACATATTTTATGAATAGTTGCACCAATGGGTAGTAAACATTCCTGCAATTAAGAGTGAAAGGCATTACCAGTGGTAGGAAGAGAAAAAACTGAGTAAGTGAGTTGCTATATAAACAGGGTGAGGGTACACTCATCCTGGACATTAGTATAGATGTAGAGCAGTTATTTTCTCTATTAAGAAAATTGTTTAGTGTAATAATTATAAAATACAGCAATACTTGCCTTTATTTTATGGTCATCACTAACAGTGACAAGCATTTCTGGGTCTCTAGGGTTGAAGGCAACAGCATTAACTACATCTCTATGTGGTAAACGAGACAGACAAACACCATAGTGACGTTCCCATACATAACCATGTCTGTCCTCTGCACCACTGTAGGAAGAATCAAGTAATATAATGGCTATATCCATTATCCTTCTAATGCTATATTTCACCCTTAAATACAAAAGATTTAATTTAAACTGTCTGTCCTCCTTAGAAAAGAAATAAAACATCATTGTTTAAGACAATATGAAAGGTGTATTACATTTTAAAGTCAAGAGAAATTAAAGCTTTTATAGTGTTCACAATAATCATATTTGTAAATGTATAATCAGCAATACAATTACACAACTACTTAGTATTCTGATGACTGAATTAAGACTTTTAATACATCAGATGTTTCTCAACAATTCAGGCAGACCCACAGAAGGAAGCATTCACCATTATTCATTCTTTAGTATAAAGGATAAATGCATTAAAAAATGTTAAAGCATGAAGTGTTGAAAATAATGTAGACATTAAAAATATATCATAGTTCAGTACAGTAAACCAGAAGTGTGCTTTAAAAGACATCGAGCAAGAGACCTGAGATCTTTTTATTACAACCTTCACAAAGCTTTATCAACAAAAAGTAATGTTATTACTGGACAACTAGATCACCAAGTAAGTACAGTTGTTCACACTCCCCAGGAAGACCTACGTTTTAACCCTAAACCCTTTCAGAGTATATGCCATAGTTCTACGGCTTTGAGTTGAGGGTCCAAACCATAGAACTATACCAAAATTCTAGCAGCCTCATTTTTAGCTTGAGAAGGTTGGTAGGCCTACATCTCAGAGAATGGGTCTGGGTGGTCAGTGTGCACACTATAGAAAAGCTCTGGACGCCCGCATGGCATTGTGGGAACGCCGCCAAAGTGTCTTTGTTCACCATGCCTGGCGGCAAGGAAGCTCTCACTCCCCAGGCGAATTCTGACTCTCCTCTTTCCAAATTATAGTTCAAAGACTGATGGAAGTGGATCTGAAGAGAAAGTCTATAGTTCTGAACCATATGGGACATTGTACCATATAGTACAATGGTACCATATGGTACAATGGTACCATGTGGTACAATGGTACCATATCATAAAATGGTATCATATGGTATAATGGTATATGGTACAATGTACAATTTGGTACATTGTACCATATTGTACAAAAGTTACTGGAAAAAAAATATTAGAAAATAAAAGAAAAAAGTAACAAAAACCTAAAATAAAATAGTGAGACTTTACAGAAGTTGCAGATGTTGCCACCACCGGGTCATTGAGGGTCAACTTCACGCCTCTATATCTCGGTAACTACAGATCAAAAAAACATCTTTTTTTATTACCTACAAAAAATATCTTTAATTCTGTAAGAATTTTTTTTTTTTTAAATTCTTGGACCCTGGTGCACTCTTTGAGATTTGGCCTCTGGACCCTCAAAGCGTTAAACTGTCCAAACGTAGATCTATGTATGCATGCACAGCGCTCAAAATGTAGATCAACGTTTCATTTTTCATTCCTTCAAATTTGGCACAATAGGCTTGAGTCGCCTAGACATGAAAGAATGGGTCTGTGCACTCAGTGTGCATACTATTAAAAAAATCTGGGAGCACTTAGTACCTTGTGGGAGCACCAGTTCAATTGAGCACCAGCTAGAGCAAATAGCATGGCAAACACCAGGGATTCACAGATGCCATGTCGCATTAACACTCCCATTTTAAGAGGAAAGTAAAAACAGGTTAGATAAATACATGAGTGAGTGTGGGTGGGTGTGAGTTGGACCTGATTAGCTTGCGCTACTAGGTCTGATGTCATGCTCCATCCTTCAATGGATGTGACCTGACTAGGTGGGTCATTGGTCTAATCTGGTGGGGGGGAGGGTGACATGGACCTCCCTTGCATGGGCCAGTAGGCCTGCTGCAGTGTTCCTTCTTTCTTATGTTCTTATGTATTCGGCTGGCTGGCTGGCTGGCTGGCTGGCTGGCTGGCTGGCTGGCTGGCTGGCTGGCTATCTGGCTGGCTGGCTATCTGGCTGGCTAGCTATCTGGCTGGCTGGCTATCTGGCTGGCTGGCTATCTGGCTGGCTGGCTATCTGGCTGGCTGGCTGGCTATCTGGCTGGCTGGCTATCTGGCTGGTTGGCTATCTGGCTGGCTGGTTATCTGGCTGGTTGGCTATCTGGCTGGCTGGCTATCTGGCTGGCTGGCTGGCTGGCTGGCTATCTGGTTGGCTGGCTGGCTATCTGGCTGGCTGGCTGGCTATCTGGCTGGCTGGCTATCTGGCTGGCTGGCTATCTGGCTTTCTGGCTATCTGGCTGGCTGGCTATCTGGCTGGCTGGCTATCTGGCTGGCTGGCTATCTGGCTGGCTGGCTATCTGGCTGGCTATCTGGCTGGCTGGCTATCTGGCTGGCTGGCTATCTGGCTGGCTGGCTATCTGGCTGGCTGGCTATCTGGCTGGCTGGCTATCTGGCTGGCTGGTTATCTGGCTGGTTGGCTATCTGGCTGGCTGGCTATCTGGCTGGCTGGCTGGCTGGCTGGCTATCTGGTTGGCTGGCTGGCTATCTGGCTGGCTGGCTGGCTATCTGGCTGGCTGGCTATCTGGCTGGCTGGCTATCTGGCTTTCTGGCTATCTGGCTGGCTGGCTATCTGGCTGGCTGGCTATCTGGCTGGCTGGCTATCTGGCTGGCTATCTGGCTGGCTATCTGGCTGGCTGGCTGGCTGGCTGGCTGGCTTGGGCTCTCTCTCTGTCTATGTCTCTGTCTATCTATCTACAAGGTGTCTATATTTGAGTATCATAGGCAAGCTTATGACTAGTTAGGATTTATTATTTTAAGATTAAGATTAGTATTTCTGGGTTTATAGTCAGTGGGTGAGTGAGTGTAATTCTGAACCACCAGGTGGTTATCACGTAGCTAGTTGTCGGGGTGGATCAGGGAGATAAGATGTTTTATAACTGTAGTTTTGAAAGTGATGAATGTGTCTGCAGTTCTAGAGTTTTCAGGTAGGGTGCTCCAGATTTTAGGTCCTTTGAAATACATTGAATTTTTGTAAAGGTTTAGTCGAACACGGGGAATGTCATAGAGATGTTTGAGTCTGGTGTTATGCCTGTGGATCCTGTCACAACTATCAAGAAAGCGTTTTAGGTCAAGGTTAATATTGGAATTTAAGGTCCTGTAGATATAGATTGCACAGTAGTAAGTGTGAATGTTCTGAACAGGGTTAGCGGGTTAGCGGCAGCGGCAGCAGTGACTTCCAAGCTCCGTACTTTTCTCCAACAATCAGAGCTACCAATGCTCCTATGATGACCTAGTTACAAGCAAAACTGCACTACCCAACGTAGCACCCAGAATGACCAAAGATTACCAACAGTGAAACCTACAAATCGAAAATAATAGAGATCAAAGGAAGACTGCCCACAAACCGAAAGCAACACCCCGCTGCCAGCCGAACAACGTAACCCTAAGCTTTGTATAACTACAACTTCTTCTTAACTACAACAATTCCTGTAGCATTATGAGGCGCAATCTAAGAGGAAACAGCACCAAGGCCAGCAAGAAAACACCGAAAAATCAACTATTCAACAAGTGTAGTCAGGAAGACGCCGGCCCAGCAACCACCCCACTCACCACCGCTCAAGGCGACACCACAACAATAACAACAAACATGGTTGCCACCAGCCCATCCTCCCCTCTCTTCCCCGGATTCAACCTACCAAGTAGTCTCTCAGGTATTACCAACGATCCAGATACCCTAAAGACATGCATCTCCAACTTAGTTATTGAAAATGTGAATCTTCGAGAGACGCTAACAAAACAAGACACCAGGATGACACAACTCGAGAACAAAATCCTCAGTCTTGAACAAAAGTTATCAACACCAGGAATGACTAACTGTGACAAGACCATCCAAGCAGTCATAGATAGCCATACCCAACAAATAATATCTCATAATACAAAGGTTGAAGAAGCAGTAAAAGAATGGAAGAACAACTTAGATAACCAGTTCAGTGACTACTTTGCTCTCCAAGAAGATAAAACTGAGCAAGATAAACTATCGGACGCAGTAATAGTTAACAGTCCACTTTTTCCCAGTGATATGAACCAAACAAACAGTAAAGAAATTACTCTGCAGATCATAAAGGACCAAACAAGTGTTATTGTACCAGAGTCAGAAATAAAAGAAGCCAGGTTACTAGGATCCCATGGTAGAAAAAAGTGTTATGCTTAGATTCCACTCACATGACAGGAAAAAAGACTTAATTATTGCATCTATTAAAGTAAAGAAAGAGGTATACATAAACGAGTGTCTTACCAAAAAACGTCAGAACCTCCTTTATAGAGTCAGAAAACTTAAGCGGGAGAATAATGACACAATACACCAATGCTTCACACGAGATGGGAAAATTCTTGTTAGGAAAACAAATGTAGGTCAACTGTACACAATAACGAACGAGAATGATCTATCACGATTTCTCAGGGATACTAACCTTACAGAGAATAACTAAACTATGTCCAACCTAAAAGCCTACGTAGTGTAGTGAATGTTTTGCTCCATTATTGTTCAAATTTCATTGTACAATCTCTTAGTAATTAAATTATCAACTACCTCATTTTGTGATTTTACTAGTAAGCATAAGTCACCTTATGTAATTTTATTTACTATTGTTTGCTTAAACATTAGCTGAATTGATACTTTCTCTGTCCATATTATTACCTCATATTTTTTTAAATACTATCAATTGATATTACTTACTAAAATTAATAATTATAATTTTTACTATAATTTCAATTTACTCTTAACATTTTTGACATTTAATAACCATTACTTGTCTAATTACCTTTACCTGTTTTAATACCACATTTACTATCTTAGAGTACTTTTAATTACCTATTTTTTATTATCACACCGGCCGATTCCCACCAAGGCAGGGTGGCCCGAAAAAGAAAAACTTTCACCATCATTCACTCCATCACTGTCTTGCCAGAAGGGTGCTTTACACTACAGTTTTTAAACTGCAACATTAACACCCCTCCTTCAGAGTGCAGGCACTGTACTTCCCATCTCCAGGACTCAAGTCCGGCCTGCCGGTT